AGAATAGTCCTCGTATGTGCCTCCAGCACATATAAGTTGTTTTGGTTACTGGGTATGCAGCCAGCACGACATTGCTTTTGCAAATGTCCATTAAGCCTTTACAGTTGTATAATTGCAACGTAATGCCTGGAGGAACTCAAATAAGAGAGTTCAAAATGTCAATGTTTAGCTTTATGTTATCTGCCATGAAAATTCAACAAAGAGAGAAACCACGGTTTATAACTTCCCCAACCAAAGGAAGATACTGCACCATGCAGAAAAGGTCTCTATGCCACCTTCAGGCCTTCTTGAGTCCTCAAACTAGCTAAATCTCAGTCTAACAAAAAGAGATTGAAACAAGTGGGAAAACAGGAGTTCCTTGGACAGGGATGACCCCTATCAGTAGACAGAGGTAGACATTACCTTAGGCATGACATTTTGGGTGCCATGAAAGAGACAGCTAGCAACCTGTTAAATTGTTTAATTTATTATGGTGCTGCTTTTACTCCCAGGGAAGGACACTTGTGGGATTTTCTGCCTCAGGTACCAAAATAATGTGGTCATTCTTTGTACAATGCTGTTGATTTGGGCTGGAGGGCAGGGATTTGTGGTTCTGCCTCAGGCAGCAAAATGTATTGAGCTCAGAATTTGAGCAGAAAGAAAAAGTGGTATTTTTACATGTTGCAAGCCTCCTTAAGCATGGTTTTAACTATGGAAAGGCAACATGCAAATAAAATGATGTTTGTATTAACTCCATAATGAATGCATACTCTTTTGCATATCTCCTCCATGACATTAATGGTTTCACACAGATAACTGCTTGCCATTAGAACTGGACCCATAGTTGCAACAGAAGGTGGTGTGCTTCCGTTGCAGATGCCAGGATCAGGGTAAGTATTTTGGGGGATAGCTATGACTTATCGGTGCAGTAAACGTGTCATTTATATCACATCCGGTGCAAGATAATAATTTCCCATTTAATCCCACCTAAGGCTTTAGCCAAAGAGGTTTACATCCCAATTACTGTGCAATTAACAACTTTGCTGCTATTTAATTTTCTTGCTAAGTGGGTGGAGTGGAAGGAAAATGCACCCAGGCATACGGAAATGAATGCAGAGATTCCTGACACATACGCTACTGCAGAATGCCAATCAAGGAAGAAATGAAATTGTACACAGAGCAGAAGAAGATTCCTAGTGACATTTACTGTGGGGAGTGATAACACAACCATAATTGCATTACAGACAGATATAGGTTTTCTGCATTGAATGTGATGAGAATGAGATGTTAAACCTTTGAAGATGGATAAGAAATGACAGGAAATAAATTAGGTTTGCAGTAATCTAACATAATGTTAGGTTGCCGTTGTTATACAAGAGGCAGGGAGGTTCTGTAGGAATACACAAAAGTGACCAAACAGAAAGTGGCAGGAAATCATAAGTAGTATGATTCACTGTGCAATTTGAGGCCAGTTATTCATGTCTCAACTTACACATAAAAAAGGTCAGCCACACATAAGCAAGAGTGAGTGTAAACTCCTCCCGACACATGCTATGTCCTTGACCATGTAGGCATGCCTATAAAAATAAATGTATGGCCAAGGGCAGGTCTTCAAGGTGGCTTCATAGAAATAGCCTCTGAGTGGAGGCCACTTGAAATTGCACTACAGGCGGCAAACATTTTGTACGTGTCCAAACGATGCGTGACCGTCGAGGCACAGGTCCTTTTGGATCTGAAATAGGGCAGAATGTGGAGTGGAACAGGGTGGAACAGGCGCAAGGCAGGGGGGACGGGAACATAACAGGGAGAGGTAGGCTTACACATGCTCCAAAGATGGGGGGGCAGGAACAGAACCTCTGGGTAAAAAGGTTGCAGCCTTTAGAGCTTAATTTCTCTCATTCGAAAGAGACAGGTGGACCTGGTATTTCCATGCTATTAGAAATTAGAGATGGAAGAATCTGTCAATTTCAGTTTCCAGTTTTTCAGAACTCAAGTTCAGCTCTCCACATCACTTTGCAATTTGTTTATTTAAAAAAGTCCTCATGATCATTCAAAAGCATTTCAGTGCTAATTTCTCCAAATATATTACTATTATTATTAGAATTGCACACGGTATGTCCTATGAATGTCATGGTGCACCACAATTTGCAGACTAGATACAAGGACCTGGTTGACCTTAAGTGTCCTCCTTTCTTTCAGCTCCAAATACACAACTTGTGTTGCAACAAATAATCACCCAATCGTGTTGATGCTGACAGCTGCTAATGGGATGGCTTGATGTGTCAAACAATAATCTAAACCTTGAACCTGTGCCCAGGCTTCCAGGCTGGTGCCACCGCCTCCTCTAATTAGCAACTCAAAATTTAGAAACCAAAAGGTAATTAGTAAAGTCATTGCCTGAAAATATATGATAGCCACTTAGCTACAGTGCCTTGCAGCTTGCAAGAAAACATGTGCAGAATGGACTTTTTGCAGCAGGGGGGATTGCTACAGGAGCTTCTCACTTGTTTTGTTGAACAACTCAATATTTAACCCCATTCCAAGATGCATATTGATAGGGGGTCGTTATTTTCCTTGATGAGAAAGTAGGGATGAAACTGTAAACTGGTCCTGACAGAAACACATCCAGATTTTGCAGGGATCAAATACATCAGGGAAGGGGAGCCTTTGACCCATCAACCCTGACCATTGGCCATACTGGCTGGGGATACTGGCATTTGGAATCTGCAGGGCCCCCAACTTCCCACCCCTGACACAGGTGGCATCAATGTCAGAGACGAGTCCAAGGAGTGGGGGAATTTGTGGGCAGAGGCAGGGGAGCAGGATGATGACTCAGGGGAGGGGGTCGGTGATTTGTGGGACTCTGTGCCGCCCGTGAGGCAGGTGTCGGAGTGGTGGAAGAGGGGAGTCAAGGGGAGGAGACCAGGCAGTCAGAGACAGGAGAAAGGAGGTGGGAGAAGAGTTGCACGAATCTCAGAGGCAGGAGAGGCAATGATGCTCCCAGAGAGAGTTGTGGCTTTAGAATCTCCCCCATCCTCCTCTCCACTGTCTCCATGATGCACAAGGTGGGACTTAAAGCCATGGGAGCAGCTGAAGCTGCCAGTCAGGGGGAGTCGTAGGGTGCTTGCAGGCACCACCATGTCAGACAATGGGGTTTAAGTAAACTGAAAGGGTCACACTGTTGCTCCCACTGTCAAAGCACAAGACTGTGAAGGAAGATTGCCTAGACAGCTAATTAGCAGAGGGTGGTGTATATAACCCTTGTACATTAGGAGCTGATGTGACTGAGAGCTTTGCCAATAAAGATATAAACTTCCAAACGCATGTCGTCATTGGGTTGAGTGTGCCTGGGAAATCCACTGGTCTATGTGAAACAAAGCAAACCAATCTAGAAAAGCTGTTATTTAAAGTAGGACAAAAGCAAGACAGGCTCTCTTGATACTGAGCATTTCTTGAGACAATGTGTGCAACGGCAGGCTATCCATTCCTTGAAACTCGAATCTGGCAATAGAATTTTCTGTCTCTGGGTTTTGGGGGACAACAGGGTGTTTGTCAGTGTGAATTCAATGCCACAATTTGAATAATATGTTCAGCAATCACCGCTGCACTATTCATAACCAGTTGATTCTCTCTAGCTACAATTACGCACCGTGTTTGTTTGTTTTTAGAACTCGCTGTGTGGTGTTAATTTTCTGTCTTAAATAACATACATTATTAAAAGATATAAATCTTCCCCTCCACGCAAGCCACCCAATAATTCAATCATTATTTCATTAAGCTGCACAATATCACCCTGAGGCAGGAAGCCCATCTTTAAAATTTACAGCAGGCTCAATCCACAACATATACTGGTAGTTCAGCATGACCTCAGTTCATAAGATACAAAGGTCAATAGCACAGGGAATATTGCAAATTACTCCCATTTTGGAAAGCATTTTCAATCACTCATTCATCCATCTAAACACAAGCTGTAGACCCAGAACCATTAGATGTTCTTCTCATAACTGTTTAACAATCCCCTGCCAAATCTCAATCTTTCTGGCTGCATATGATAATTTTGATTTGCAGCGGCTTAGGATTGTTTGGCTTCCATGTAGTCAGTCATAACTGATAGAAAACATTAGCTTTTTTAAAAAATAAAAACATTGCCCAAATTATGGGAAAGCTGTAAAGAAGTCAATGAGGGCATAATCAATCAGTGAAACTAACTCAAGAATGGCTCTATAATAATAGATGGGATGAAAACTGCCTTAACAGAATCTGAGAAAAAATTAAGCAACAAATATAAGCTAGATGGATCTTTGGTATGCAGGGCTCTCTTTTTTATACGATAGTAGGATCCAAAATGTGCCATGAAAGGGAGAGTATGGAGTTTTTGAACCCCAGATTTTTTGAAAAACAAATACACACACATACTGCCTTCTTCCAGAATCCAAGGCAGCTTTGACTGTCAATTCACAATTAGTAAGAATAAGTTGTCTTCCACTTCAAATACATACACACACATTCCCATACTGATAGTTGCTTAATAAAACTAGGTTTTAGCAGCAATTTTGTCCAGTTCAATAGGCATCAGATATTGGTCTATAGTTACAAGTCCTATCCTAACATAGAAATTTAACATTCAAGTGCCTGCATTAATAAGATAGCCATCGGTATAAATAAATATTGCTGGTTTGAGTTGGTTTCAGACTCTGTAGCAGTTCTTTGTATACTTAGATGAAAACTATAGTCATTATTTACACTTGTCAAATTTCAGTTTACACTGTGTACTTTTTCATGTATATCACCATAATTTTCGCCGTCAGTGTGAAAAAAACACCCGAACTTTTCAACAAAGCATTGCAGCTGAACACTAGCTATACAAATAAAAGTGTATTGCATTTATTTAACTCTACAATGATATCTTTGAAAAATATTAGACATGGACTGGAGAGAGACCCAAGTTTGAATCCTCATTCAGCTTTGAAGTATAGTCTGATGGGGCATTGTAAGGGTAAAACGACAATCCTAAATGTACCTGCAGATGCCAGGGATTGAACCTGGGACTCTCTGTGTACAAGGCAGATGCTCTGCTACTGAGCCATGGTCCCTCCCCGCACTCTTGCACTTGTCTGGAACCATAAGATCTCAACTGGGCTTCTTCAGTAGTGGTCTCACCACTGCCAGGGGAATCAAAGAAGGAAACCACACCACCTCTCCTCTCAGAGAGGCCATACACTACCTACAAAGTCCAGACACCCAACCCAGTTCAGCTACATCATTGTGTAGCAGGGGATTTGAAAGATCTCCCCCAGAGATCCTGGAGAACCTATGATAGTCAGATCTGACAATGCAGAGCTGAACAAACAAATACCGGTATGCATTTTTTGATGTCCCTAAATTTAGAACACGTCTATAAACCCAGAATCAATGGAATTATTCTTATTAAACTCTTACAACCAAAGCAGCTTTTGTCATGAATGTGCACTATAATCTGGTTTTTCACCCCACAAGCAGAAGCGATACTTGGATACAAAAAGTCAGTCTTAGGTAGGTATGTATAATAGTTCTCTAAGTATACAACTTACACAAGTATTGGCCTGGAGGATTTTGACAGAGATGTGTTCACTGGAGAAAATGGGGGGTGGGGAGGCACGAGCACTGAAGCAATGACCTCTGCAACACACCATTCACTAACATACTAATTTCCTAATGGAATCTGAACTTCAGTTGATTGACCAGCCTAGGAGAACAAAAATCACTGTCCCCATACAATAAAAGGGTAGCTTCCATCTGACACTAGAAATCGTGACTTTTGTTTTAACAGCAAATACGTAAAAGCAATTCCTTTCCTTAATCTTTTAATAAATAATAATAATAATAAAAGCTTTTCATCCTCTGGAAGCCTGCAAGGAGATTCTAGTAATTCAAATAATAGATAATGAATACGCTGGTTGCTATAGCATTTATCTGGTTACTTCATCAGCACCTGGGACCTATTACGAAGTAATTTGACAGATTAATTCCTGTTGCGAACAAGCGGGGAATCAAAGAAGGAATTTGAAAACCAACTTGCTAAGGATGTTTAGCAAATAATAATGAATTTAATGCATTCAGACCAGGAAACTAAGAACTCTAGAGCATGGGTAGGCAAAATGGTGGCCTCCAGTTCTTGTGGGACTCCAACTCCCATTAGCCCAGTCAGCATGGCCAATGGTCAGTGATGATGGGAGCGAGAGTTTACTATCAAAGGGAGGCCACATTGTCCACCAACGGTACAGATTATTCAATAATTTACTCCAAAAACAGGGTGGGTGTGGGTGCTTATTTCCATACCAAAAGCAGCACTACCTATCCAGCTCTCACTAATGTTATTTATGAGCTCTGAAGAGACTGTTTTTAAGCAAGAAGGTGTTCATACTGCAGATTTGTCTACATTATTTAAAAACAACACTGTGATTTATGCCAAGCTTATAAGCAACTAAAGCTGATTGGTAGGCCAGTCTTCAGTCACTTTAAACCAAAGTGTTTGACTCTTCTCCAAATTAGCCCCACAGGCTTCAATGGAGATAGTCAATACAATTCATTTTAAGCATTTGAACAACTATAAGCTACGAATTGCGTCACAACATGAAGTCATCACTAAAATCATTGCACCCCAATGAGATGCAAAAGGTAAAGAACTATTCATGAGACTGATTAAAGAACAATCCGTTTTTTTAAAAAGATGGTCTGCTTTTTATTGTTTAACCTACATTGACCATATAACTAGGGCATACAGTGGTACCTCGGGTTACATACGCTTCAGGTTACAGACTCCACTAACCTAGAAATATTACCTCAGGTTAAGAACTTTGCTTCAGGATGAGAACAGAAATCGTGCAGCAGCGGCGCAGTGGCAGCAGGAGGCCCATTAGCTAAAGTGGTGCTTCAGGTTAAGAACAGTTTCAGGTTAAGAACAGACCTCCAGAACGAATTAAGTTCTTTACCCGAGGTACCACTGTATAATTAAAATATCTGAACTGGCATTAACAAACAAAAAACAAAAAACAAAAAAAACCCAGAACAAAGAAAAGCATGAAGTGTTTTTTAAGATGAAAACAGCATAAATATTCGAGGATTGGACTCCTGCCGATCAAGAAGCATGGGTACCCCCCACAAAAATTTATAATTTGGAAAACAATTGGATTACATGATATGTATTGATATAATTTGTATTAATTGGTTTGATGTGTTTAATTTGGTAATATGAAACTTAATAAAAAAAATTTTTTTAAAAAAAGAAAAGTTTTTTGCTGAAACATAACTACCAGGACCATTCTATGCAGCAACTTTGGATGAAGTGGATTTATTTAATTAATCTAGCACTACTGTAGGTTAATTTTTTACACAGCAAAGCAATATGAAAAATAATTAGCATCTCTTTTTTTTTTTAATAATATTTATTACTTTTCCACAAAATTTTAAACACTAAAAGAAAAGAAAAACACACACATACAATACGATACATTAAACTAACAAAACAACACAACAACAATAAAATAAATCAAACAATTTCATTATCCCATCTTTCATTCACTTATTTCTGTGACCTCCTCACACCTCCCTTTTTGTATTCCACTTCCGTTAATTATTTCAGCAATTCCTTTCCATCTATCTCTGTTTTCTATCCTATAATTATCTTAATTCATTCTAACCTTATTTTTTCCTTTAATACTCTATTAATCTATTTATACTTAATTCCTTGTAACATTTCTACTAAAGCCATGTAACTTCATTCCTCCAACATTTTTCTAACATTCATTAATTTTACAATATTTCTGTAAGTAATTTTTAAATTTTTTCCAATCTTCTTCCACTGACTCTTCTCCCTGGTCTCGGATTCTGCCAGTCATTTCCGCCAGTTCCATATAGTCCATCAACTTCATCTGCCATTCTTCCTGGGTGGGTAAATCTTGTGTCCTCCAATACTTCGCGATAAGTATTCTTGCTGCTGTTGTAGCATACATTAAAAAAGTTCTATCCTTCTTTGGCACCGATTGGCCGACCATGCCCAGGAGAAAGGCCTCTGGTTTCTTCAGAAAGGTATATTTAAATACCTTTTTCATTTCATTATAAATCTTCTCCCAGAATGTCTTAATCCTTGGGCATGTCCACCAAAGGTGAAAGAATGTGCCTTCAGTCTCGTTACATTTCCAACATTTATTATCGGGCAAAAGGTAGATTTTTGAAAGCTTGACTGGTGTCATGTACCACCTGTAAATCATTTTCATTAAGTTTTCTCTTAAAGCATTACATGCCGCAAATTTCATACCTATGGTCCATAACTGTTCCCAGTCAACCATCATTATGTTATGTCCAACATCTTGTGCCCATTTAATCATTGCTGATTTCACAATTTCATCCTGAGTATTCCATTTCAACAGCAAGTTATACATTTTTGACAAATTCTTAATTTTGGAGTCTAACAATTCTGCTTCCAATTTTGATTTTTCCACCTGGAAACCAACTTTTTTGTCCAAATTGTATGCCTCCATTATTTGATAATAATGGAGCCAATCTCGCACTTTATTCTTCAATTTTTCAAAGCTCTGCAATTTTATTCTGTCTCCATCTTGATCCAGAATTTCCCAATATTTCGGCCATTTGGCCTCCATATTGAGTTTTTTCTGTGCCTTCGCTTCCATTGGTGACAACCATCTTGGGGTTTTCTTTTCTAACAAATCTTTATATCTTATCCATACATTAAACAATGCTTTTCTGACAATATGATTTTTAAACGCTTTATGTGCTTTTACCTTATCGTACCACAAATATGCATGCCAACCAAATACATTATTAAAACCTTCTAGATCCAACACATCAGTGTTTTCAAGTAGCAGCCATTCTCTCAGCCAACAAAAAGCAGCTGATTCATAATAGAGTTTGAGGTCTGGCAGGGCAAATCCACCTCTTTCTTTAGCATCAGTTAATATCTTAAATTTTATTCGAGGCTTCTTGCCCTGCCAAACAAATCTGGAAATATATTTCTGCCACTTCTTGAAACAATCCATCTTATCCAAAATTTGTAATGTTTGAAACAAGAACAACATCCTTGACAGCACATTCATTTTTATCACAGCAATTAGGCCTAACAATGATAACTTCAAATTTGACCATATTTCTAAGTCTTTTTTCACTTCAATCCAACGTTTTTCATAATTATCCTTAAATAAATCTACATTTTTAGCAGTCATATTAACCCCTAAATATTTCACTTTCTTAACCAATGTTAGTCCTGTCTCTTCCTGAAATTTTTCTCTCTCATTTACAGTTCAATTTTTCTCTAAAACCTTAGTTTTCATCTTATTCAGCTTAAAACCTGCTACTTGCCCAAATTCTTGTATCAGTTCCAATACCCTTTTTGTGCTAGATTCTGGTTCCTGTAGGGTCAATACTAGATCATCAGCAAATGCTTTCAATTTATACTGTTTAACTCCCACTTGTATACCTTTGATCTCTTGGTCCTTTCTTATCATGTTTAACAAAACCTCAAGGACCGATATAAAAAGCAGTGGAGAAATTGGGCAACCTTGTCGTGTCCCTTTCTCAATCTTAAACTCTTCTGTCACTGCATTATTCACAATTCATTTTGCCTTTTGTTCTGAATAAATTGCACCTATACCATTTTCAAAACCTTGGCCTACCCCCATCCCCTGTAGATTCTTCTTCATAAAGCTCCAAGAAATGTTGTCAAAGGCTTTCTCCGCGTCCACAAATATCAAGACAGCCTTAGTATTAATATTCACTTGAAGTTTTTCTAAAATATTAATTATATTCCTCATATTGTCAGACAAATGTCTGCCCGGGAGAAAGCCCGCTTGATCTTTATGAATTTCTTCTACTAACACCTTTTTTAATCTTTTGGCCAAAATGTCTGCAAAAATTTTATAATCCACATTTAGCAGCGATATGGGGCGGTAGTTTTTGAGCTGTGTCTTTTCAGTCTCTGTTTTTGGTATAAGTGTAATGTAAGCTTCCTTCCACGACTCTGGTGCCTTTCTTCCTTCCAATATTTCATTACAGACTTCCTTCAATGGTTGTATTAACCAATCTTTCAAAGATCTGTAATATCTTGA